ACATTCACACTCATTCTAATGCCTTATATGCTATGGTTCGTATGATATTGACGTAAATCATGTTTAAATAATTCAGATTTTCTTTACAAAAATGAATTGGATTATTTACTTATTTTTTTGTAATGTCTTCATATGGAAGATAAACTTATACGCATTCGATGTTATTAACCATTCATTGTTCATTAGTGCTTCTTTATTATTAGTAAAACTATATTTACTTTATGGGATTACCCAAAGTTGTGTCATCGTTAAATAAAAACACGATGATAAGAAGATATTTTCAATTCTATTTCATCAAATGATGATAAATGGGGGTTATGAGACTGTTTATAGCAAAATTCAACATTTTTCTAATAATTTGCTGAAAGTATTTTTCAAAATAGTTTCCAAAAAAAACAAAAAATCTTTAGCTATCTTGGGTACCGCATGAAGTTCACTTATGTTTTCATTTGTTTAAAAATATAGAGGAATTTTGTTAAACCATGTGAGTTGCATCCTAGTAATACTATTGATGGGAGAGATGGATTTATTTTAGATAGGGTAATCAAAACTCATCTGATAGATGAATCGTATTGAACTATTACTATTCATAAAGATAGATTTTAATCAAAATTTTGTTTTCATATGTTCTATAATTCATTCATAAATATTATGTTGAATGTTGTCTTGAGTCCTTTTTCTAATGTAATATAAAATAAATAAAAGCATCAGACTCAAAATGTATAAAATTTCTTAAGGATCATTTCTCAATTCAAACTCATCCGATGATACTATTTATTCAATAGAACAAAAGCATCTATTTAATGGCACATCAGTCATGATTAGCCATATGGAATATTACAATCTGGAGTTAAATAACTCTATCGAACAACGTTTAAATGTTTCAAAAGTCGCTGAAATGCTCATAATTCCTGCAGTATACAAGATAGCTAGAATTTCTTTTTTTTTTTGAAAATTATTTCAAAAAAATTTTCAATAAATTATTAGAAAAATGTTGAATTTGCTATAAACAGTCTCATAACCCCCATTTATCATAGTATTTTTATTTAACGATGACACAACTTTTGGTAACATCTGAGTTAATAAATAGTTCGTGACATATATACGCACATATGTTTTATTACTAGTATATTTCTTGTCATAAGACTATTGCAATACATCAGTAAAAAAACTGTATACCTTGTTTTTAATCTAGTTCTTAAAACAATTCTCTTGAAAATTTTTCTTGTTATTTTCTAATTCAATTTATTTGAGTCATTGTTACAACCAATCGAATTTCTTTTTTTAATTTTTTGCTTGATTAATAATTGTAATTATTAATAGATAATAATAATAAAAAATGGCAAAATGTATCACTTTTATTTTCAATAGTAAAGTAATATTCATGTACACATTCGAATCGTGATTTTGTAAATTGTCTGTCTAATGGTAAAGAGTGCAGATATCAGAGCTAGACGAACAATAACTATTTCAAGTTTGTCTTTAGAAATCAATACCGTAACAACATTCGATAATGTTACAAAGGTGTATTTTTTTTAACATAGAAATCAAGAAATAGTTTAAGAGCAGAAAAATGAACACTATCCATTTTTTTGTGCTCAATTTCATGTAAAAGTATTCTCATTTATAATATTCGACAATTATGTTGTCATAACATTAAACACATATTTCCAAATATGTCCTATTTTAAGTTCTTGATATAATTTAAATTATAATGAGAAACAAAAAAATTGTTTTTTTCTCTACCCTTACAGATTTAAATAATAAAATATAACTACGTAGAACAAGAAACAAAATGAAAGAGTTGAAATTACTTGTTATATATAAGCATGAGATAACGAAAGAATATCAATATGACTAAATCAATAACAAAAACATTCGAAATTTATAGACAATGCGAAAGAACAGATTTTAGATTTTATTTTGATAAAAGTTCTTTTTTTCAAAGTTGAATGATTTAGTAATATGTATCTATTTTGTATATGAATGAATCTGATTATATACAACACCTAATAATATCGTCTTCGTTATGATTTTCATTCGTAACTAAAATAATTTATTGCAGTGTATCGAATGAACTAATTGAAAATTTTTTTATTTTTCATTTTAATATTGTTGATCAGAAGAATAATTATAATGTTTTGAGAATCTCGTTCAGTGAATTGTGTTTGTATATATTTGATGTAGAAAAATAAATAAAATTGACTAAGATGATCATAGATTAATTTTGCTTATTTTTAGTAATTCAAAAACAATGAAGAATAGAACGTAAAATTTTAAGAGAGATATATGTCTATGAATTTATTAGACAATATAATTTCAGTTTTTAATGTGTCAAATTGATTAATAAGTGATATTTTATCAATAACCAAAGAAAAAATAAATAAATAGCTGAAATAGTTTTAAAATGGATATTCATCTATTTCTATTTGTCGATTGTCTAATAAATCATCATATTGATGAAATAATACAATCATAATTATAATAATCATAATTATAAAAGACATAATAATAATAATAAATTATTTATGAATTAATCAATTTAATACATTCAAATCTAATGATATTACCATTCAATTTGATTCAAAAAAGTAAAAGATGAAGACGATCATATTGGTTGAGTAAAATATATTAATTTGTAGAAAATTTTAAGAGCAATCTTTTCATTAAAAAATAAGCTACTTACCAAATATAATTGAAATTCATGATTAGGTATTATAAGAATATGAAATAATCCAAGAGAGGAAATTCTTCAAATGATAATTGTAAATTATTTTCAATTAACTATATCTAATAAAGTATTTAATTGATTATTAAAATAATATTCATAGTAAATATATATAATTTTAATTTCTTTTAAATCATGATAAAATTGATGATTAATTCAAATAAATTAAATACAGTTGTTTGTGTCCATTGATTAATTAAACATTGAATATAGTTTTCAGATTTGAATAAATTTGAAAAAAAGAAAATTTCATGATCTATCTATCTTTTTATTTTCTATAATAGATAGTAAATGTTTCTTTGTAATTCTTACTAATTTTTTAATAACATTTCTTGATTAAAACATTTCCAATGTTTTTTTAATGTATCATTTGATGTCGAAGATGAACAAAAAAAATAAATAAATCAAATAATATTGATTAATAAGATATTAGCATTTTTGTATATTTCGTTCGTTTTAAGTGAAGTAATATATTAATTAAATTTGTATAATTTGTTATTATTCGTTGTTGTAAATCAATAAAAAAATGTTGAATTATTCATACTCGATAATAATCTTAAAAATAGATAGAGATGATGGATTTTTAAAAATTGTTTTGTTAAATGGATACTATTTTCAAATAAATCTATAAGCAACATATCCAAATATGTAAGAAGTCATATGTATTTATTCCAATACCCCTCTTCGATATGTAATAATAAATGTGACAACAAAATCAATTCCTTTGTTGATATTAAATATGAATGAACAATACATTCATAAAAAATATCTTTTAGAATTCTATCATTCGCAAATAGATATAATTCATTTATGTTATCGATATTATTCAAATAGTATCTTTGAGTCATTTCAATGTTTGTTTATATAATTCTAATTTGTAGTTGTTATTGACGAAATTTGATAAATAATTTTGATCTGGATCATTTTATTCTTTTGCTTCCAAAAAAAAAATAAAATAAACATTTAAATGTGGACAAAATTTGTTTTTTGTATTTGTATGATAATTTCTTACTGAACAATATATGTCACTACTGCTACTTACAAAAATTTGAGAATAAATTGAATAAATAAGATCATCTAAATATGTATCATATAACATAATTTTTTGTGTTTTTGAAATTAGATGAATTCTATGATAAATATTCAGTAAAGAATTCATTCTCAATCTTTTGAAAAATATCGATGATATAAATCATTGTGTTGATGAATCTACTCTAAATAAAATATAGATTTATAATAGAATAATTCGTTACCTTTCTACAATAATAAATACAATAAACTATTTGTAAAAAAAACAAAAAGATGCAAATTTACTTTCTTATTGAAATTCGATTTTTCAATCATATTTATTATTTATTAAATAATGTTTTTTCAAGTATTTTTAATTGTATTATTGTTTTACGATCACATTCAAATAAAATGACACTTAATTGTGATCTCGACAATTCTAATCTCTCGTTCTCTCTTATGAAAAATAAAATGTGAGAGAAAAAGAAATAAAACAACGACGACGACCGGACGATTTATTTTTTCTCGTCCATCATTATTATGATCTAATTATTATTGAACGAGAGAAAAAATGTATTGAAATGTATATAAAAATGAATGATTTTCAACTAAAAAATCATTCAATTATTTGAATCATATTCTAACCTGTTTTCTTTTATATTTTAGGTTACTTTCAAAGACTCAAAATTAATCAATTCAATATCAATATCAATACAATACAATCAAAACTAAAAATGTAGGTATTAGTTATCAATTTTTCTTTTTTTTCTTAAAGATAATTTCGAAGGTAGTAAGACTTCGATTGATCTTTTTATATTTTAGGTATTGGTTTCAACAACTCAAAATTAAATCAAGTCAAGATGAAGAACAATAAAATAAAATGTTTGTATCCTTTTTTCACTAATTCTTTCTATATGGATTAATTTTCTTCATTTTCGTTTCAGCCATTAACATGCTCAAGGAAAGGTGAGTAATTATTTATTTATTTTTCTCTTCTTGTTGAGTTTGAGTTGAGGTCTCGTACTATATCAGGTCTTCCGGATAGACCCTAAACACCGGCCAGGAACTGTCTTGGTGTCTGTGGCAACACGGTCGGGCCTCAGGCTCACTGACATATGTCACCGGATGGGTGCATGTGGATGATGTGAGTTTTCCCGCGCGTGTACGAGCTTTACGCTCGCCACAGCGCCACCAGGATGGTTCCTGGTCGCGCGCGCGCGCGTGAATAGAAATTAAAAAAAATTTTTTTCGATTCAAATGCAATTTATTGAATTGAAAAAAATTGAACACGATTATTGTTCTCATCGACGACATAGAGATTGCCTTGTCGATCGAAAGACAAACCACGGAGATATCGGAACTGATTTGCTCCTGCTCCTTGACCATTTCCACCCACAATGACAGTACCCTGTTTTGCTCCTTTAGGCCAACGCATCACTCGATGATTCTTCGAATCTGCCACATAGATGGTACCCAACGTATCGACGAGGAGTCCGTAAGGATAAGACAATTGTGTCAGAGCCTCCCCTTCACCTTCACCTCCAGCGATGACAATGCCTTCTTTTGCACCTTTATTCCATTTAATGACACGATGATTGTTGTTGTCTGACACGTAGACAGTCTGTTGTTGATCGACAAAGATGTAGGTCGGAAAGTTGAGTTGATTGAGACCAGCACCTGTGCCATTTCCACCAGCCACAGTAATTCCATTCTTGTCTCCTATTTGATATCGTCTTACTTCATGTTTTTCCGTGTCAGAGACGTAGAGATATCTCTGATCATCCATGAACAATCCACAACAATCGATGTTGTCAATGAGAATTTCTCCTTGAGTTGTGCCACTACGACGAGACCATCGTACGACTCGTCGATTCTGCCAATCGCAAATAATGAGACTATCAGTCTCTTTGTCGATTAGCACATCGGTTGGCCAATTCAATTGATCTAAGCGATTTCCTTGACCTTTGCCACCAGCTACGACTTGTCCATTCGTATCACCCATCTTCCATTGGACGATACGATGATTCTCGTAGTCAGCAATGATCATCGTTTGATCGTCATGAACGAAGAGACCGTAAGGATCGTTGAGTTGATTTTTGGCATTGCCTCCTGCGTTACCTCCAGCAACAGTCTTTCCATTCTGTGACCATTGAGCATCGATGGGAATATTGGGAATAACTACAATGAACAAAGAAAATGAATCGTCATTGTCGACGAGATTTTTGTCTCTCATGCACGAGAAAGTACTTTCCGTAACTTATTCTTTAAGAAAAGGACTTCGGAAGAATTCTGTTGTGTCGATAATTATTTCTAATATCTGAAATGTTAAGCTTTCAAAATTCTAAGGAGATTTCCATATACGAGTTCATAAGTGTAAAGAAAATAAAATTTTGCAAGCATGAAACGAAAGAAAAAAAGATAATGAGTAGTTCTTTTTGTAGAGTTTGAAGTCTTTCTTGTTTCTCTCTTTCTCTTCTAATGCTCATCAATTTTCTGTGTTCCTTCAAAATTCCAGCAATTTTTTCTTTCTATATCATTTCCAAGAGGCATTGAAAAAAAACATTCTCTGAAACATAATGCTCACTTCTTTTCTACATCTACTCCGGTATAGCTTGACAAAAAGTTTTATGGGGTTGAGGAATCGATTGGTACCATTGGTTTATGAAAAATTTTAGATAGATGTTTCAAGTTAAAAATGCCTTGTTTTAGCTCAAAGAAAAACTGTGCTCCAAACTACGTAAACCAAAAATTATGAGCTCATTT